TTGCTAGATTTGCACATGGCTTTCCTGTTATATGAATGGAAGAAAAATGAATTGGACAATCTTCCCGGAGTACATACCGTTTTTAAAAGTTCCTTTCGTAGACAATAAATGTAAAAGAGTTTGAAGAAGTTGCTAAATAATTTGATATCACCCGTTATACATTAACTGTTCAATTTGCTTATATTTTTCGACAGCTGTCTAAATATTTGGATCTATTTTGTTTCTCATACAGGAGTTATTTCTTTTTCCCCATGTAGGCGATATATACATTTTTCCCTTTTTTCCGTGATGCAATAGGTTATGTCATATTACAGTAATGGAATATGAATACAAGGTCCTCCGTTCTTTCATCTGCATCCTAGTCGCTTGAAGTTAGCTAGTGTGTGAAACTTAAGTAGCGACTCGGGCTGTGCCTCATTGAGAGTTGACGCTGTGAAACGTTATTGTTCAGTCTGTATAGCCTAGGGGTTGAGCACTTTAATTTAATGCTTGGGCCTTTTGTCAGGTAGCCTGTTGTTACTTTAGTGTATATATATATATATATATATATATATATATATATATATATATATTGAAAATAAATAAACAAAGAACTTTCGTTAGAGAAGGGTGTATTTGAAAATATCTGGAGGTCATAGTATTATTTTGGTAAGATTCGATAACCGCACTTTCAAGAATCTTCCGTTTAAGTAAGCTACTTTCTTTTTTAATACGTGTGAAATTATTTATATCGAAGTTATGTTTGAACCGATTTTTATGTATAACTAATTCATTTGATAAATTTTTGTGTATAAGACCATTTTTATGTTCATAGATATGTATTTTTATTTTTGACAAATTTCTTCAAATAAGTAACAGTTGCGACAGTTTATTTTAAATATACCTACTTCAAAATTAATATTGTTAGGGATATTTTTGATTCTGATCATATCCATAACAGTTTTGCGTATGGTTATAACTATTTTGATATTATTAAGATTGGATAAATTGTTTTGGATCGTAGAGGTTAAGGAGTTAGTAGGTAGGTAATATGTCTCTTTTTATCTAGTTTATTATCATGTTATCATTATTTTTTGTAGATTTATATTATCTATGCCTTTCTGTTACAGTTGTGAATTATCTAATGAGGATATTGTAGGTTTTTAAAACTGCTTTTTATGTATATTTCTTCTTCATGTAAATATTAAAGATCATTATTAATTCTTTGTCGCAGGGTATCTAGGAAGGGTAAAGTATTGTTAGTCTAAGATTTAAAGGCAAAGTCAATTGTAGGTTCCATGTTATTAAGTTTATTAACAAGATCGGATAAAACTGTCATATGGATTTGTTATTAGAGAATCAGCTATGTATTTAAAATATGAAGAGTTTAGAAATTCGAAAAACAGACAACCTGAAATGTCGCTAAAAATGGAACCCAGTGGTTACACACAAAAGAGGCACGTATATATATATATATATATATATATATATATATATATAGAGAGAGAGAGAGAGAGAGAGTTTATGCAAATTTAGGTAATCCGTATGGGTAGACCTGAGGAGGATGATATTCAGAGAGCTCAATGTAAAATTATATATATATATATATATATATATATATATATATACATATATATATATATATATAGAGAGAGAGAGAGTGTGTGTGATGTGAGAAAGAGAGAGAGAGCGAGAGAGCCTGAGTGAGAGAGACAAAGATAGAGTCATAAACCAGAATTTGGAGAATTATACGTCAGTTTGTGGTGTCCTTATCATTTTATTTTTTTTTTAGTCGTGATATATATTTAGTATATTTACTCCTAAACGGAATGGAATCTTATTGCTTGTGGGTTGTTTACCTTTTGTGTTTACGGATTCTCGCATTTTTAGTTGTTCATACATTTTCTGTCTTTTCTTACTTTTGTGTTGCTGATAAACAACTGTCAAGTTATTTTTCTTTTGTCTTTAAAGATCTCTGTCTTCTAACTTATTTTTATTACCTACTCTTTTCAGATAAACAATGTCAAGTATCAAACTGATTAAGCAAGTGAAAAAAAAAACTCGGTATTCCTCGCCTTAAAAGCGATAAAGAGATAGCTACTTTCCTAAAAGTTTTAAAGGATCTGGAAGCTTGACGGGGATCCAATTGCAGCACCTTACGCAAAACGTATGCTAAAGGTCTTAGTACTAAGAAAATATCTAACTTTGTACTAATCGTCCAGAAAATAATCAATAAGAGCCCCGGAAATTCAGTCAGAATCAATGCAAATGACTGAAAAGTTGTTAGAGTGCAACATCAAAAGAGTTATGAATGAAGACATCCGGCAAAAGTCGTATATCCATGTGAAGAGGAAAGAGAATTATTTGATCCGTGTAAAGAGCTTGCTAAACAAGATAAAACACCAAGAGCCGGAAAAAGCTTTGATTTCCCTTCGATGAGAAAATCTTTGATTAGCACCAAAAGAAAAAACCGAAGGAAAAACAGTTGGTTATGAAGAGACCCGACTGAAGTGCCAGGGGTTAGGCTTATCAACTTCGCAGCAACTGTGTTGGTTCTTGGAGTGACCATAAACGATGGAGATATCATACTTGCTCAATTCCTCACATAATTTCTTCAAGATTTAACATTGAATGCTCCTGTTTGTCAGAAGGTGTAGGATAGAGTTATAAAGCTCTGGATTGATAGCGTAATATATATATATATATATATATATATATATATATATATATATATATATATATAACATGTGAATAAACGTTACATAAATGGAATCATGTTTCGATGTGTACCAACACATAAGGCTTTAGTAAATGACTGGTTAGTAGACGGTTCATTGAAATTTAAAATTTAAAACCACATACAACATCTTTTCACCCCAAAGAGGATAATAGAAAAAAAGTAAGAAAGAAAGACATAAGATATTTTCTCTTTTCCAGAAAAAGAAAGAATAAGGGAAGAAAGAATCGAGAGGAGATAGCAGCGGAATTTGTTTTGTTTATAATTAGATCAACCAATCAAAATGGTCTACGTTAAATAAGGAGCATGACCCCCAGATTTAAAATTGTTGACAGCTTAGACGATTTATTCAATACATTTAAGTTTGCTATAATGTAACCATCAGACAAATGACACAAACTATGGGAAATGAAACATAAATTAATATACATGCAGCTGTTACGTAAAGGGTCTTGTATAATTTGTTCATAAAAAAAATCCATGGAAAATGTTAAAATGTCAGCCAAGCGCATATACCTATATACTAAATATTATTAGAAGAAAAATGTACATAAAATACTTCGTCGAAACTGATCTTACAGACAAAAGATACGCTTTATATGGCATGACAAGGTTATTCTAAAATATAAGAAGAAGCAATTATCAAATTAAAAAAAACAACATCAAAGGTAAGATATGCTTGCAATTGACCGTTAATTCTAAATATTTGATTTAATAAATCATCCCTATTCAAAAATCTGATGATCTGCATTTTCTTCTGTAAACACAGATAACAAGGTTCATATAAGGATCTACACATTCTAGGTATTTTTAAAATTTTCCATTTAACTTTAGAAATTTTATTTTCATTGTTCAACTTCAAAAAGTATTTTGAAAATGAAGTATTACGAGATCTGTTTGAAAATAACGGGATTGGTGTCAAAATCAATATATTTAAATTCCAAAAACAAACTACATGTTTTCCACTTCAAAGTAGGCATCTCGAGAGTGATGCTTCTTTACCATGCTTCTATACACTGCTGGAAGGATTCTTCTTGTGTGCTCTTCAGGTACGTCGTTTTGACCCTCTAGATGGCCTTCACGCCTTCAAAACTGTTCCCTTTGATGGTCCCTTCGACCACGGGGAAAATAAAAAAAAAGATCACATGGAGTAAGATCAAGTGAATAGAAAGGTTGTTCTAGTACGACGATGTTCTTCTCGATCAGGATATACAGCTGCCACAATTCTCGTCTTTTCTCGTGTAGTGAGCAAATAAAAGGCCGCAGGTTGTCTATTTAGATTTGTTGATTGATCATCTGCTCCTGTGGCAAAACTCATTTTGGACGTTGCCCATAGCTCACACAGCACTTTTCATATATATATATATATATATATATATATATATATATATATATATAGATGTATGACAATGTAGAAAAATTTTTTGGTATGACGCGTTTCGTCTCTTAAGACTTCGATGGACTAGGTTTGTTTACGTTGATGTGACTACACATAGGTACACACGAGAGACGCTGGGAACTTTAAATTTGCAAATATTTTTCTATATGTTTATTGTATACAATCTAATCAATTTCATTTAGATTATTTTTCTTTTTGTTTCCATCATCTTTGTTATAAAATATCTCATAATGTGATAAAAGATTGGCTAGATTGTATTCCCATAACACATAGAAAAGAAACATTATTTTTCTATATTTAAAATTTCCATCGTCTCTCGTTCGTGTACATGTGTTGTCGTATCAGCGTAAACAAACTCAGTCCGATGAAGTCCTAATATATATATATATATATATATATATATATATATAAAAAATATAAAATTATATTTTCCTTTTTTGCCTATAAGTTGTATAATTTTTCCCGATATTTCGATTTTACACAATCACCTCTTCCATGACGACCGTGGTACACGTTAAATAAATCTTCTCGATCTTCACTGCTCATATTTAACATATATTATCTGATTTCCGATGAAAGAATACCATTTTAAAATGACTTTAGGACTGAAGAGATTACTGGTATCCAAATTTTCGTCTAAAGATGAATTTGGTTGGTTCCATCACAAAAAATATAGAGAATAAGGGTGGAGATGAATTTACCATAACTGATAATGAACTGAACGAATAAATGAAAAGAATGTTTGATAATGACGATGACGAAGAAGTATTTTGGGTTTCAGTCCTGATGAATTACAATAACTATATCCACACAAATAAAAAACATTTCTTATATTTTATTATGTGTAAAAGAAGTTTTGAAATATTAGCTATATTTACGATAAAAATGGCCACGTAAGTCCCCAGATTATAGTCGGATATACCTGAGAGTCAAGCGCAAATAACCACTTTGACTACCCAGAATTAATGGTGAGACCTAGCTCCGGTATGTGTCTTCAAGCGCTGTCAAATTTTGTAAGCTCTAACGGATGAATAGAATAAATCCTACAGGTAATGTCATGTACACGGGCACATAAAAAAAGGCTAAACAGAATTTCTCAAATCAGTTTGAAACTAAAACATGATAAATATAAATTTACTTGATTTTCAGAACAATCAGTCTCGTTAATTTACTAGGCGAAAAATATACCTAAATGACAAAGTGAAGATAATGCTAGAATTTATCATCTTAGATATTAATATGAAAACTCATTGCTAATACATTAATCTTTAATTATCTTCAATTTAAGAATTGTCAAAATTGAATTCCTGCTGTTAGAAATATGAAATGTTTTTACCATATCATTTGTTAACAGCTGAGACATCACAGGTAGTCTCTGGCCGCACACTAAATGCAGCATCTAAAATAATGGCCTTTTAGCTTAAAGCACAGATGGCTTTCACTTTAACCTTGTCAATTATAAGATGAAAATGAAAATATTTTGTTGTTTTTTTTCTTTTGTGTTTTCTTTGTTTATTATGTGTGGGTGTAGCGGGGAAAGGTTATATACATTTTGATGTATCAAGAACAATTTTAGGAAAAGTAAAACTACGACAAAGTGGAAAATGCTTACGTGCGACGCGTTTCGTCTTTGAAGACTTCATCGGACTAACGTGATATTTAAGTTCATGCGACTGCACATGTGCACGAATTTATCGTGAAAATGTTTTCTCAAACTAAATGAAAGAATATAAATCTAGACTATAAATCTAAAACATATATTTAAAAAAAAATCTTTAAATAATATTCCCATCCTCCCTCTTCTACTATGATATATATATATATATATATATATATATATATATATATATATATATATATATATTTTTAACACGCGCGTCTATATTTTACGCGCGTGCGAGTTTCCTCCCTTCCTTTCGCACTCGTGCGTGTGTGCGCGCGCAGTTTGCACCCCTTTCTTCCTCTCACAGCTAGACGTAGCAGTAACCTGGAGGAAGACCTTCGCTAGCTCCTACTGATGAAGTCAGACTAACAGATTTTGAATTTTTTTTTTTTCGTTTTGGGGGCGTCTCAAACGGCCAGCGTTTGCAAGCCAGTTGCCTCCCCGACTTTCGACCAAACTAGACGGGCAACTCATTTATTCCGTGCCCTGAACCCATATGCGGGCCGGAATATCTTATTTCAACAATGTCGACCTCACACCTTACCAAGACTTCTCGTCTTTCCGCTATCCGCAGGTCAGACCTTCTCCGTTTTCGACCAGAAGACGTTCGAGACACACGACACAGTCGTGAGCAAAACTTCGTATTCAACAAGTGGCTTATTTTTATCCCTCGTCAGTCAATCGTAAATACAGACAGGGATATCCTACTGACGAACAACTTGCTATCCGCAGGTCAGACCTTCTCCGTTTTCGACCAGAAGACGTTCGAGACACACGACACAGTCGTGAGCAAAACTTCGTATTCAACAAGTGGCCTATTTTTATCCCTCGTCAGTCAATCGTAAATACAGACAGGGATATCCTACTGACGAACAATTTGCTATCCGCAGGTCAGACCTTCTCCGTTTTCTGCTAGAAAATGTGCGAGACACATGACACAGTCGTGGGCAAAACTTCGTATTCAACAGGTGACTTATTTTTATCCCTCGTCAGTCAATCGTAAATACAGACAGGGATATCTTACTGACGAACAGATATTCTTCGTCCCTTCTGGACTCGCCATAATTAACTTCTCATAGACGATGCAACCAACCGCAACTAGTTCTTCGTCCTTTTGGCTAGACGTCCACAGCATTCCGTTAAAATTCTCAACAGTTAATTCAAGACCTGACCGAACTCTGAGACCCTACTTTGAACCTGAACACAAAAGAAAAAAAAGAAAAAAACACAAAATCACATACACTCTCAAATCATTGGACTCTAATCTGCTTTGAACCAGTACCTTAAAAATATGCATAACATCACTCTCAACGCCAAAAAAAAAATCCACAGTGAGTACTCCTTTCTATCTGTGCGAACATACACTTCGTGTTTAACGAGTTCCCTTTTTCCAGAACCTTATAAAACCCTTTTCCTTGATCTCGTATCACGAGATAATCTACTTGTTTCCATCTAATTAAAGTTACACATGTTTTACAAACAGACGTCTTTGTCATTTTATTCCGGCTATCTCTTTGATGTTTATTAATTTATGCACTTGTTGATTGACCCCTTTCCTCTCACTGTTCATTCACGCATCATTTTTTTATTTTTTTTATACATTGCTCGTGGACTCGGTAGTTTAGTGTGGTGTCTGGCACAAGGCCACTTTGTAATAAACCAGCACTGCACCCTACCGGGTCCGCAATATATATATATATATATATATATATATATATATATATATATATAAATTTACAAGCAGCACTCCGTGCGGACTCTAGAGCTAGTTACTGGAGCGATAATTGGGACTCCGGTCCAAAACAATAGGGATATCTGATCCAGCTGAGAAAAAAGCAAGGATAATTTGGAAGAAATAATTTTGAATTCCTCAATTCATTCGATAGAACTTCAAAATCTCAATTCAACTCTGATTCCGGATATAAGTCCAATTCCGGCCAAAAGAAAAACCCTCTATGAAGTAAACAAAAAACAAATTGTAGTTCAGTGCGAAGCGTTTATGTACGAAACAGCCCATTAGGAAAAACAAATAAATAAAAACAAAACAAAATTCTCTAGACATTTAACGACATATTATGATGCTAAAAGCTATCTTTAGCTATGACTGACCATACGATGTGCGCACATGAATGCCATCATTCGCTTTGAAATGGATACCCTGACCCTACCTCGGGTTGACCTCTTTCCGGAGGTGACTGATATATGAATAAAAATGAACTCTTAGGCTCCTTATCATAATGTTCGCCCCAGCCGTTTCCATAGTAATTAATTTTGCGAATGCACATGCTTATAAAGATGCGTAAATTTCAAGATTGGTTATTCGTAAATTTTCGCTTGCGGAGGAAACAGTGCTTAAAATTAAATTGAATTAAATTATCTTTAATTCAATTTAATTTTAATAATTATAATTAGATCTTCTTTTTAC